CACCCCACCAAAGAAAAATCAGGAATCATTTATGTTGTAGACCAGGTTGACATTCTTAGTATTTGAATTTTTTGCAGAGGTCTTTGCTCAATTTTTATGAAGGATGAGCAGATAAAAGCCAGAGACTATATAAAAAGCTTCTTCTCGTATCTCAGTTTTTCGACCAGTGCTAACATTTCTTCTTTTTTTCCTGAGAGGGACTATTAACTTCTGCAAGAAACCATGAACCTTTTTCAATAGACAGTTTATAGAAAGAGATACAGCCTAGGTTGCAGATTAGTTCAGAATAAAATAGTAAACAACTTTGGAAGAAAAATTTAGGTGATTTTTCTGAGAACTCCAAATGATTTTAATCTACTTCCCACAGCAATTGAGAGGGATTAATTAAACAGATAAGGAGAGAACAGTGCTTTGAAGACTTAAGTGTTATATACTGAGCAAACATATTTATAGGGAACTATCAAATATTAATTCATCTTTTTGAGATCATCATTGTAAAAGGACAAGGCAATATTATACTGGAAACATTGGGGGTAGTTTAAAGTGTTTACTTAAGAAAAGGAGGTTGCTTATTGCAATGGAATCACTTAACATAGATTTGGTTATATTAAGATAATTATTTCCCCCTCACCTATAGACTGCCTTTTGTTTGTAGGCATCTATGAAATCCCCAGCTTTAATTTGGGAATGTTTTAACTTCTCTTCTCTGCGTATATTTTAGTATAGTTTGTCACTGTATTTGGTATAATGATAAACTCACATTCAGCCTCTAACTTCAACCTTTTTCCACAGCGGTCAACTAAATCATGGGCTACCTTAGCCTGCTGGTAACTGAGAATACAGAAACAGAATAACACTGAGAATATAAGATGCTTTTGCACTCACTGAAGTAATTTGTGAAAACTCTCATGTCAGGAATACAGTATCAGGACCCTGAGGAGTCAAAGTCCTTCTTGGCTGTTGCCAGACATCTACAGTAAGAAAGCACCAAAGAAAGTCTTGTGTTCCTTAGTGTAATCCACCAATCTGATATCACTAACATTCACCATCAGTCTGTCTCCTTCCAGCATCTGAAGCACAGCCCCTAGATAAATATGTTGGACCCACTGGTTTTCTGTATTTTCGCACAGAGTCTTGGTGCCAGTCAGCAGTTGAGTTGGCTCAGGATAGCTGTCTGTGACTTTGGTAATGATCTGAGTTACGGAAGCTGTATTAGAGGGGTCTGGAATGGGCCCTCGGAAAGTGACCTGAGCGTAGATGAAATAATCTCCAGCTTCTGGTATCACCAATGATTTGTTGGTATAATGCAGGTTGTTCTTGGTAAATGCCAAGCCTCGATTGTCTTCCCACTGAAGAACTGGAAACTGGTTTCTTTCAGCAGATTGGCTGTCCTGTTTCTTAACTGAGGAGGGGAAACAAGAGAAAGGTAAGAAAGAATCAGTTAGTTTGCTCATTCAGTTTGTGAACTTGTAAAAGGTAACAGGTGCTTGAGGGTATAGACATGTCAATCAAACAATATGGATATCATTTTTTTAAATGCAATTATCACATCTGTCTAGTTCTGTAGAAAATTGCTGCAACCTTTTCATTCAGGGTTAAAGATACAATGATTTAGCACTAATTTGTAGGATCAGAACAATATAACAGTTAATCCTAGCAACTAACAGTTAATCCTAGCAACTAATGTGCAGCAGCATCTCCCCTTCTCCTTGTACAGCAATTAAAAAGTACATTTGTTCATAACTTCACTTCCTCAAAAGGAAATATTCTGACCATCATGCTATCTGATCTGACCATCTGTGGTTTACTCTGATATGTATTACAGAAGTGTCCTACACAGAGGCTCCAGCTGAAATCAATGGCTTTCAGTTTTAAACATTTGGTTCATTGCAAGAAAGGGCCCCTTGGCCAGAAGAATGTGAAAAAATGTGGAAGTGCAGGATAAACAAAAGGTGGAAGAAAAGCAAGATTGTTATTTCCCCTTGACCACTGGAAAGCAGAGGCTTGGGGAAATGGAAGGTCTGGCTTTAAAGGGTGAGTACTGATTTTAATAAGAACGTCTATTTTTAGAAAGCAAGATCCAGTACAGCATTTCAGTTTGAACACTTGTGAATTGACAGACAAAAATTCATTAGCTGTTTTTAGAAATCCTGGCCAAAGCAAGCTGCCTGAAGAGACGCATTAAATATTTGATACATTACATCTTTAATAATTTGGGAAATGTACACAGACTTCTGAGCCCTGGGCCAGAGCTTTAATGAGACCATTGTTTCTCATGGTATAGCATTGGTCCAACCTTACTCCAGTGCAGATGGCTCTCCCTACAAGGCTTACTGCACCGTAGGATGTGAAATGGGTTCACCTTAGGATGTCAAATGCATTAAAAGAAGACAGGGTATAGAGACACCTTATAAACTAAGTCAGAGATGCATAAGATTTTGTGAACCCAAGCTTACTTCATCAGTTGGTATAAAAGGATATGCACAGAACAGTCTATCAAAGAGAGAGTTATTAGTAGGGCTGTGCGAAGCTTCGGTCCCTGATTCGATTTGGCAGACATTTGGCCTGATTCGGTGGCTGAATCTCCAAATCTGAATTGAATCAGAGGACGCTTTAATCTCTTCAAATCAAATTGGAACCCTTCAAATTGATTCGGAGAGATTCAGCGATTCGGATATAGACACAGCTTTAAATATTTTTTCTACATACCTCTAGATAGCAGGTGGCTTGTGTATGTTGTGATGCTGGGGCGCATGGAGTGTCCCACAGAAGCAAGGGGGGCTCCCCAGTGCACTGGGAAGCAGACCCAGAAGTGGACCAGAAACACTTCTGGTGCACTTCCAGTTCTGCCAGGGAACACGTTAGCCCCTCCCCCCCCCGCCCACCACCTGTCCCCACCCCTGGCTTGGCAACTGGTTCCTCTTGGGTCTGGAGGAGCACTTGGGGTCCCACCACGGCTGATTGCACACCCCTATCGATTAGGTATTTAATATCTGATAGGGTTCTCTGTGCATAGACAATTTTTTCCCCACAAAGGATGAACTATTTCAACATTCTGAAAATAAAATGTACTGACTCAAAACTAATTTTTGTTTAGAAATTTTCCTCAATTTTATAAAAGGGTAGATTATTTACCCTTGCTTCCCAAATGACACTTTAGTTTCAGGTTGAACAAAATACTTTATTTGATTCCAGAGTCTTGATAATAATCTAGTACCCAAATGTACCTACTGTAATAGTCAAGATTAGTCTGAAATTATGTGGAATCTGGGCAAATAATTTTCTGTATGTTTCATATAAAAATATTTTTGGCTTGACCGAGATCAATATATACATGGATAAGATGAAATTTTCTTTGGACTCAGATTTTCCTCTCAGTAAATGGATGATGTGTCCCCAACCTTGGCTTCAGAGAGGCTATACTAAATGGCTACAAGTCTGATTCAATCTGAAAATTATGTTCTCTGGATAAAGTGTCTGTGGACTGTTCTTTTCTATCCCGTTTTCCATGTCTATGTTTCAGCACATACAGTAACCAGGAAACAAGAGCCTTATAATTTATTTATGGGAGTGATTCTTCATACGGAACAATAGCAGCTAACTCCCCACAGTTGTGCATATTGCACAAAACCTGCCTTTTCCTTTTGGTAATAAAAGGAGATCTATATAGTTACTCATAAACAACAAGGAAGGATATTCAGATGGTAATATCCTGTCCTTCACGGGAGCTTGAGTTTATAGTTAGTGTGAGTTTTAATTTGACATGTTAGGCCATGCCCACATGAGCATGGATGTTTGTTTCCTCAGGGATAAGAAGCAGTGGCATACCTTGTGACGCTGCAACTTGTCCCTGGAGAACACCTGCGCCACGTGCCCTCTGGTGTGTGGCAGGTTACCCTGGGTGGGGAAGGGAAGGCTGGAGCCAGCACTGTGCTGGCCTCAGCAGCCTTACCTAGGGTCCCAGGGGCCTCCTGGGGCTGCAGCAGCAGCAATCCTACCTCTTGGATCATGGCCAGCAGCTGGAGAGTGGCTTTGGCCAGCCAGGCTCCAGTTTTGGACGGCACATGCTGCCACCATATGTGCCACTCTGCTTTTTTTTTTGTACAGGTTTTTTTGACCCCAGGATTTCCCAGGGTCAAACCCCCCTACCCCTCTATGCTGCTACCTTGCAGTGCAGAGAACAGCTGAATGTGCAGTATGTGGTGCACACAGATGTGCTTGTCTGGATGTGGCCTAAGTATCTGTATCATAGTTGAATTACGGAGAAAACCTTTCAAATTCTTCCAAAGGTAACTGCTGTGTGTGCCTGGTATACGATGAGATGCAGGAAAATTACCAATGGTTCCTGAAAAGGGTCTGTTGATTTTATTGAAAGTAACAGACTTCAGGAAGGCCAACTTCAATAAGCTCAGGATATTAGTTAGGGAGGGACTGATAGGCAAAAGCATTGGAGAGATGGGCGTCCAGGAAGGGTGGATGTCAAGGGCAGGCCCAGACACAGGCATGGGCAAATTGTGTGGG